GTCTAGCCTCAGTACATCCATGTGAGATTTGTTTAATTTCTTGTTGCTCTGTGCCAGCATTTATTTTGAAGATCGTAAGACTGAAGGAGAGGCAGAACAACGGTTTAAACAACAGTGCCAAAGAACCAAACCTGTTGCTGTCGAGTCGATTCCGACTCATAGTGACCCTACAGGACAGAGCAGAACTGCCCCATAAGGTTTCTAAGGAGTGGCTGGTGGATTCGAACTGTGACCTTTTGGTTAGCAGTAACTTGACAATATGAATTCAGAGCCACGAAAATGTCCATAATCTAAAGTAAAAATTTAATTGAGGGATCTTAACCTAAGATATTAATTTAAAATAGAAAAAAATCGACAGACATATTATTCATTTACTTATTGCAATGTTACTGGTAGGAGTAAAAATTTGGAAGCACTCTTGATGTCCCATAATAAGGACAAATTATTAAATTCCTATTCAGTAAACAATGGTACACCTTTTAAAAATAAGGGTTATGAAGATTATATGACAACGTGTAAAATACTTAAAATGTCAAGCCTTAAGAGAAAAGAGCAAAAGACGGGCTAACACCACACAACTGACAAACAGTTGGAAGGGATGTAGGACATGATAAGGGCTGTGTTTGCGTAAAGGGACTAGGAGTAGTTTTTAGTCTCCTTTTCTCTCATGATTATTTTAATGAGTTAGACATTTCATAAATCAGAAAACCAATTTAAAGCACCCAAACTAGAAATCCAATATTTAAAACCAACAAGAATGAAACGGGTTACTTTCAAGTTAGCTGTCCTGCACATAGCTTCGTGAGGGATTCCGCATGGGACAAAATCTCAAACAATTATTGCAGTTTGCAGGGGGTTGCATTTATTCTGAAGGAGCCCTGGTGGTGCAGTGGTTAAGCACTCGCTCGGCTACTAACTGAAATGTCGGCGGTTTGAACCCACCAGCCACTTCGCAGGATAAAAATGTGGCAGTCTGCTTCCGTAAAGATTTACAGCCTTGGAAACCCTGTGGGGCGGTTCTACTCTGTCCTATAAGGTCACTATGAGTCAGAATTGGCCGGACAGCAGTGGGTTTGGTGGGTTTTTTTTTTTTTTTTTTTGGTGCATTTATTCTGAGAGTAATTTGAGTGGTTGGAAAGACAGTGGAATAACAGCATGAGAAAGTAGACTCCCATCCTACCCCCAGCTGCCAGTAATTCACCCTAGCTCTTCAAGAACTGATTTCTGCCCATTCAAAGTTGGACTGGCCCATGGAGACTGACAGCCTCCCCCAGGCCATTGTGATGGTGATGGCTGGGATGCAGGACTGGCCTCAACAGCTCTCAGAGGACCAGGCCTTAATGGTGGAGCCCAGGCAGCTGTCTCGGCTTGGGGTTGCTGGTCATCAGAGACCCGGCAGCATGTGCAATGTTGACCTAGAGGTGAAAAGTCCCCTTTCTCATACCCAGTCCCCAGAGGCAAGTCCCTCATTAGGGTACAGTTTCTAATCCAAACAACCATTAATCTTTCTCAGGGTTAAAAGGCCAGAAAAGCAATTTTTGCTCTTTATTTTGATACTGTACTTGTCTGTATTTTACAAGAGCGGACGTACTTCACTGACCACTTGTAAACACCCCACAGCTGTGTTCCCAGCTACATTAAACAATGCCAAGCCCAATACAGCCTTTCCTGTGCACGGAAAAGGGACAAACACACAAAAAGATCTGCTGATTATTGTGGCACTTAACAATAAGTCACAGAAACATGACCTATTTGGAACAAATTAGTATTTTGTATCACACAACAAGGGGTGTGCAATTTAAGTGAAAGTGACACCATGTGTGATAGTTTCATGGGGGCAGCGGTGGGTCAATAGTAGAATTCTCGCCTTCCACGTGGGAGAGCTGGGTTTGGTTACTGGCCAATGCCCCTCCTGTGTAACTACCACCCATCTATCACTGGAAGCTTCCATGTTGCTATGATGCTGAACAGGTTTCAGTGGAGCTTCCAGACTGAGATGGACTAGGAAGAAAGCCAGTGATCTGCTTCTGAAAATCAGCCAAGGAAAATCCTATGGCTCGCAATGGTCTGATCTGAAACCGATCATGGGGATGGTGTTTCATTCTGTTGGGCGTGGGATTGCCATGAGTCGGGGGCCAACACAATGGCAGCTAGCTAACAACATCATCGTTTCATGAAAGTATTACACAAACGTTTGGATACTATTCATTTAATTTTCCTTGCCTTGCCAAGTAAATTAATCCGTATAAGTGGAGCTGTGACTCCTAAGAATTGTTTGATCTTTGAAAAGAAATAAACAGAAAAATAGGATTTGACTTAGAAAAATGCACTTCATTGTTGTCTCTGAAACATTGAAGTGTGAGAGCTATTTGTGTCTGGTTTACAAAATGGTCCTAAGATCCCATCTCAGACTCTTTTAATAGCTGGTAAGAAACCCATCTTTTCTATATTCTTAAATTGTAAGGACCGAATGAGTATTAACATTAAAAAACATTAAGGCTGCCTAAATCTGTTTCTTCATGCTTGACCTTTAAATTCTTTTTCTACAGAATCATCATCAATATGAATACCAATCACTTTTCCTGGTGAGTCACACTGAGACATCTGGCTACTGTTAGCAAAGGCATTGAACATTGAAGAGCGAGGATGCATTTTCATATCTCAAATTACTTTACATTGTATTTCTAAAGCTCAAAACCTCACATTAAAGACTAGGGCATACATAAAATCGAATCATAGCATTTTCTAGCTAGATGAGGGCCTTGGCTGAATAAAGTAAGACTCAGACAGGTCAAGGGCTGGAGCAGAACCCAGGGTTCCTGAACCTTACCTAGTCTAATGTTCTTTTAATGATGCCACATCACCTTACAGAATATATTCTGGGAGTTCTATAACCCACCTGGACTTCTTTGAAAGGAGGAATATATATATATATATTTCTCCCTCAATGTTTTATAGTTTTTGCCATGCCAAATGTATTTTGAGGCATTCATTAACAACTTGTACTAAAGTTTCCTGAAGGATCTCAGATTGGCAGAAAGTTCTCTGCCTCATTCCCATGATTTCTGCTCTCAGATTCCATGATTCTCCTGAAAAGCTGAGGGAATTGTACCTAAGCAGGGTCTGCAAGGCACAGCTGAAATTCTGTTGGGACTGTCTTATAAGCTCACCTTTTGGGCATTTGGCATAAAGAATTTGAACGTTCTACAGGCATTAAAACTATACCTTAATGCTATCATCTCTAAGTAAAAAATATATGCATATATATATAGATACAAAATATACTTATGCATAGAAAATTACTGGAAGAGAATATACCAAATTTTTAACAGTAGCTATCATTTGGATGATGCAATTATGAAATTATGAAATAATTATATATGAGCAACTATTTTCTTTTGTGTTTATCTTTACATTTTCAAGTTTTGGTATTGAGCACATTTTACATTTGTAGTTAAAGAAAACTGACAATAAATAGTATTTAAAATCTTGTTTAAAACTCTAAATGAAATAAAGACCTTTATAAAGTGGGCCTGAGCAAGGCATAGTAATACCTTCCTCATTCATTTTCTAAAAGGCCTGGTATTATTTTACATATATATATTTATAACATATATATGCGTGTATGTATGTACAATTTATTTACAAGATGGAAATTTAATTCAAAGTATGAGTCAATCCACAAGAACAGTGGGATATATACTTCCTTAGAGTGGGCAGGCAGGAAAACCTGGGTGGTAACCTTTGTGAGGAAAAAGGAGCTGTAGAAGTTTCCGGAGGCTCATTTGGTAGGAAGATCAGGGAGGCAGATCATCATGCTCTTTAGATCTGTCTGCAAAGCTGAAGTCTGTAAACTACAAACCTGCTTGCTTATAGAGAAGAGGGGGTGTTAGTGCCCCTCACTCCCTGGGATCTCCAATTGCCCTCCCCCAAGCCACCACAAATAAATATATATGCTATGTAAAAAACAGGGCCCTGGTGGTGCAGTGGTTAGGAGCTCAGGCTGCTAATCAAAAGGTGGGCAGTTTGAATCCACCAGCCACTCCCTGGAAACCCTATGGGGCAGTTCTGCTCTGTTCTATAGGGTTGCTATGAGTTGAACTCAACTCGACGGCAATGTGTTTGATTTGGTTTTATGTAAAAACAGTGTATTTGTGCCTGAGAAAGAGAGTTTCAGGCTACCTCAAATAAGTGTACAGTCTAAGCAATGAGTCCGCTAACCCCACCCCCTTTCGCTGTCCCTAAGGCTGGCTTTTGTGGAAATCATGGAACCATCACTGGCTTTAGGCAGGATCTTATACCTACTTAAATCCTTACACCAGTGCAAGCTTAAAATTCTACTCGTTTTCTTCCACTTCCAGCCAAGACAGGATAACAGGGACCAGACTTACTTTCCCACCAGAAACAACCAAAAAACTGAAGAAAACAGGAAACACTCTCAACACATAGGACATGAGGCAATGGAAGACCGTGAGCCCCGAGAGATGGCAAACAAACGAGGGGAGCCCTACGGTCGCGCCAGCTCACTGCCTTGAAAGTTTCCAGGCCACAGTGCAGGGAAAGGGTGGACATAGTCACTCTCCTGGTTGTAGAGATGGTTTCAGGGGTGTATACACATGTCAAAACCTATCAGATTGCATACTTTAAATATGTGCAGTTGACTGTATGTCAATTATACCTCGGTAAAGCCATTCAAACAAAATGCTTGCTTTTGAATTTATTCTCAGCACCAGAAACGTTTTTCCAAAAAGGGAATTATCATGTTGGGTGTGAGTGTTTATCTCAAAACAGAAATCCCTTTGGATTTGTTTCTACCTTTTAAATACCAGTGTTATTAGTATTTTTATAAAATAAGACAAATCTGACTAAAAGCAGTAAAATGATTTTTTTCCCTTTTTAAAATTAGAAAAGTAACATATGTGAACAATTCATATGTTTATAACAAGTGAAAGTTTTCTCTCAATTCTCCACATCCCAAAATCCATTTCTGCAGTCATAACTTAAAATTTTTTGATCCTTCTCGATCTTTTCTATGCATATATATACACATATATTTATGTATACTTGAGAAAGTTTTGGTTGTTTCAAATTTTTTATTGTTAGAAAAAGTATTGCCACGAACATCCTTGCCATATCTCTTTGCATAGTTGGGCTAGTATTTCTATAGGATACATTTCTATTCATGGGATCGTTGGGCAGAGGATATGTGCATTTACATTTTGGACAGACATTGAGTTTTTGTCCAAGGACCTGACATTGTGGGCATTTATCCAGCCTGTTTTATGGAAGTAGCTTGACTCTGAGCATCAGGGAATCATCTGCATTTAATATATCACATTAACATTAAAAGACTTCAGTTGCAGGAGGGTTGGTAGCAGGAGGGTTGGTAGCAGGCATGTTATGTATAGAGATGAAAAGACAAAGCTCTAGCTAGATGAACTTCTGCTTTCAGAACTAAGGTGGCCAATGGTAATTCTTTCAGTAAAAATGAAAATTAATACAGTTTCATTGATGCTTCAAACAGAGCAGAGAGATCCTCTTCTGACTGAGGTCGTGGTGCAAGCTTGGTGACCCTTTCCTGAAATAGCAAATAAAAGAGTTAGCCAGGGTATTTGCAGAGACAGTCTGTAAAAGCTACCGATATGTAAATCAGCTTGGCTATAAGAAACAATGACTTGCTAATAGTCACGTATTTAAAAATCATATTTCTTTTTTAAAATTGTACTGTGTAAAAATATACATAACAAAACATATGCCATCTCAACAATTTCTACATGTACAATTCACTAACATTGATTACATTCTTGTGGTGCAAATCATTTTCGCTATCTCTTCCGAATCATTCTACCACTTTTTTTTTTTGGTGGTTTTTAATATTGTTTATTAGCACAGTAACAAATGCAGACTTAAGTAGTCCACAACATATAACCAATTCACTGAGTGACTCCACCGCTATCAACCTAAACTCAATGCCCCCTAAGCAAAAACTCTCCCTTTCTCCAGGAACGGAGTACCCCATAAGCAAGGCACCCATGGGCTTCCTTACTAATTGGTAGTGCACAGTTTCACCTGTTTTTCACATCGACGATGTGGTGAAACCCACGTGAGATTGTGCGCTATAGTAGTAAACACAATTAAGCCTGCGTGTACCTTGCTTACTGGTTAATCCGCCCCTGCCTTTCCCCCTCCTTCCTACCCTTGGTAGCTACTACTAATCTTTGGTTTCTATATATTTGCTTATTTCATAGAAGTGAGATCACATAATCTTTGTCCTTTAGTGACTGACTTCGCACTCAGCGTGATGTTTTCAAGGTTCATCCATGTAGTGGCATGCATCAGGACTTCATTTCTCTTTGTGGCTGAGCAGTGTCCCATGGTGTGAAACTCATATTTCTTGAGACATCGCCTATGTGCTTTGGGCTAGCTGATCCCCATCTCAGAAGCTTATTAGGTAATGCCTCTTTCCCACGAAGCAATAGTCTTCTGCCCCAAAGCAGAGAACCAGACCAACCGGGGGAAAAACATTTGTTCTAATGACCAAGCCATGCTGGTCAACCACCTCTGCAGGCTCTCAGTGTGGGAGAGCACTGTCCTGGGCACAGCGTCTGCTGCCAAGGGAAACAGAACAAGGCTGCCCTTGACTTCAGAGACAACTTGGACTTAAAGTGAATTCAAAGGACTTCATTAGGACATGGGCTCTCAGGCTACCTGCAACAAATGACTCCCTTTTTTATATTAACTAAGCTTTTATCTTTACGTCCTCACACTTGTTCAGGGACTAGCTTAATTTCTTCAATGATTAGTCAAGTCAGCTAAGATAGCCAGCACATCTTATTGCTATTTTTTTTCAAATGATTTTTTTTATTGTGGTAAATATATATGTAACAAATTGCCTTTTCAATGTTCTTCACATGTACAATTCAGTGACTTTAGTTATGTTTATTGTATTGTTCAACCATTATTATTATCCATTGCCAAATTTTCCCATCACCCTTAACAGAAGCTCAGTGTCCCCTAAGCAGTGAGTTCCCCTTTTCCCCTCCCTCCCACCCGCCCCTGGTAACCAGAAATAAACTGGGGTATGTATACACTTGCCTAGACTAGATATTTCATATAAGTGGAATCAGACAGGATTCGTCCATTTGTCCTATTGCTATTTCTATACCCGTCAGTAACTTCTTTATCTCTTCTGGACAGGGGATTAAAATGTTATTATGACTACCCTGTGCCCAACTTTCTGGGCCTAAAAGACATTAAAGTAGATGATGAGCCATTTTTTTGGTTCTATTTTCATGGGTCTCTGGGTCTGTTTTCCTATTATAGGCATTGGTTTGGGTGCACACCTGGCAGAAGAGGAAGAAAGCTCCCTGAGGGCAGGGCTCACTTTCCTCACTGCCCTATGCCCAGCACCTACCAGACTGGACTGCTTGATACACAGTAGATGCTCACCAGTTAAAATTTGCTGAATTTATGAAGATGGTAGGGAGGGGGGATATTGCCATCTCCTAGTTCACATGTACAAGACAGAACTCTGACCCCCGCCACTGCCCCCTTTACATTTTCCTCATTTCAGGAATGTCCCCCAGCAACGCAGGGAAAATCATCCTTGATTCCTCTTTCGTTTGTCCTACACGTTCAGTCCATCAGCAAGCCTGTCAGATCCACCTCTAAAATAAATCCCAAATCTGACCGCTGCTCACCTCTCGTCTTACCACACCTTGAGTCGAAGTCACCACTATTACTGCCTGTCCTACTTGAACAACCTCCTCAAGGATCCTTCTGCTTCCAATTTTGCTTCACTCTCGCCCCCTAGAGTTCATTCTCCCCCACGACAGCCAGACTGACTTTTGTCCAGCATAAATCTGATCGTACCATTCTCTTGCTTAATACTCCCCAGTGACTTCCCATTGCAACGAGAACAAAACCCAAACCTGTTATCAAGGCATCTAATGCCTGAATGGATATGGCCCTGTTTCTCACCCCATCTGACTCTGTCTCCCATTGGTTCACCTCATTTAGCCCCAGTGTCTTCTTTCAGTCCCATGAACATGAACTTGACCCTGTCTCAGGGCCTTTCCCCTCGTGTCCCCTCTGCCAGGAATGCTGTCCCCAGATTCCTGCATGGCTGCCTCCCCACTGCCCTGTATGAAATCACTCCCCACCCCTACTCAGTCTTTCCCTTCCAACCACTAATCATTCTCTGCAATGAGCACGTTTATATCTTATTTATCTCTCTGATTAGATGTTTATTGTCTGTCTTCCTTCCACTAGAACTTAAGCTCTACAAGGAAGGGAAGGGACCCTGATTTGCTCTTCATGTATTTAGTAGGCTCTCAATAAATGCTGCTAAGTAAAAGGAGGAATGAAAAGAAGGCAGGATGGACGGATGGGAGAGGATGAGGAGTGAGGACAAGGCTGTTGAGTATGTGTGAGGCAAAGGTAAATTCTGAAATCCCAGTAGATCTTTTAGAGCCCCTAAAATTTTCTGGAAATCTAGCAAGGCAGAGACTTGATCATAGTGATATATGTATATGTTTGTGGCAGGTCAAAAGCTTGAGTTCAGCATTTGCTATGGATGAAGATTATTACTACGTTATTCTGTTTATAACAGGAGAGAGTTGTACCTGATGAGTTCAAACGCCCTTGAAATGATCCCAGTGGTCTTTGGTATAGTGGTCTAGGGCTGTTAGAAGCCAAACCTGACTCCAGTTTCTCTTTCTAACCCCAACAATTGGTTAAACGGGGGCAAGGACACACATAAAGTTTGTGACTTGCCCCTATACATATCAGCTATACCATATAAAAGCTGAACTCTCTCAGAATCAAGAAGTGTTAAGCCGTGTGTTTTATTTATAGACATGTGAGACACAAAGGACAGCCGATCAACATGGGCACTGAAAGGAATTCCGACTACTACTTTTACAACATTCATAGAATAACAACATTTCACCTGGCCTGTCTGCCAGGGCATGGAAGTGCTCATTTTGGTAGACAGCTCTCCTCAGTAATGAAATGTTTTGATTTGAAATGTAAATGTTTCTTTCTAGACGTTTCAGAAATCCAGCTTGGAAGATTAATTTTCTCTTGCCTTTTCCCGCGCAGCCTGGCTGAGGCAGTTGGAACCTCTGGACACACTGCTGCCGTTTGCAGCCACCGGTATGGGCTGTGGTGTGGGGTCCAGAAGACTGGCCTGGTTGTTGCTGCCAGAGAAAACTGATCCTTCCTTGCTGAACATAAAAGACCCTTTATCAAATGTCAACCATATGAAATACGCTTTCTGGCAATGCTCTCTGCAGGAACCAGTTCATCTCACTCACCGCCTTAAATCTAATAGATACTAAGAAGTGAAGATTAGTCTACCATCACATGTGTAAAATTCTGAAGTTGCTATAGCATTCCTCTAAAATGGTCACTGCTGCCAAAAACACAAATGAAGCCAACCAAAAATCCCGCATAGTAGTTATTCATCTGCAAAAATGGAGAAGCTTATTGTTATGGATTGAATTGTGTCCCCATAAAATGTGTTGTAAATCTTAACCCCTATGCCTGTGGTTATAATCCCATTTGGGAATGGGTTGTCTGTTACGTTACTTGAGTCAATCTCTTTTGAGATATAAAAGAGATTAAACAAGCAAGCTAGGAAGCAGAGATGGGGGAAGAGAGATGCCAAGCCACATGGAGATCTCCAAGGAACCAGGAAGCAGAAGCTGAAGAGATAAGGACCTTCCTCCTGAGTCAACAGGGAGAGGAAGCCTTCCTCTAGAGCCAGCGCCCTGAATTTGGACTTGTAGCCTCCTAAACTGTGAGAAAATAAATGTCTGTTTGTTAAAGCCACCCACCACTTGTGGTATTTGTTATATTAGCACTAGATAACTAAGACACTTCTAAGATTCCTTCTAAATCCCTATGAGTCTATGAAAATACACATACACACATCCGTCTATGTCTCTATCTATCTAGGAGTCCCTAGATAGATATATGTTTGTGGCAGGTCAAAAGCATTTGGGCAGCACAAATAGTTAAGTGCTTGGCTACTAACTGAAAGGTTGGCAGTTTGAATCCACTCAGAGGCACCTTGGAAGAAAGGATTGGTGCTCTATTTCTGAAACGTCACAGCCATTGAAAACCCTATGGAGCACAGTTCTACTCTGAAACACATGGGATTGCCATGAGTCAGAATCCGCTCGATGGCAACTGGTTATCTATCTGTCGATCTATCTTGACTCCAAAATGGAACTGGATAGTGCCAGTTAAAGGAAAAAAGGCATCATACAATCTGCTTCGTGAATAAAGCCTGAGGAAAACCTGGCTTCCACTTTATAGATATGACTCGTATTCAGAAAATTCAATTTACCTACCATCTTTTGTCAAACTAAGAAATTAGTTTTGTCTAATTAAGGTTCTGCTATCTGTAATCTTCCAGCATGACATGTGCACACAGGCCTTCGCAATGATACCTAATTAACTTGCTATTTTAGGGGACGGTCTCAAATGTCAGTCTGCATCTATTGCCATCCGGAACAGCTTCTGAAAGTGAAAGTCTGAGCACAGTAGAATTAGAACAGTAAAAACTTGCCAATTTGTGCGCTTGGCTGGAAGATGCATTGTCACCAGCAATTAGATGGCCAAGAATATCAGACAGTTTCATCAGAAAATCATGGATGCCATTCTTAGAGGTAGGCAAATACAAATTCCGGAACACTCTCCTGGGCTAAAAAAAAGGAGAACTTTCCAGAGGTTCCCTTACAGAATGGACAGTATCACTGGGACCATGCTATAAAAGACAGGGGCTACATTAAAACCATGGCGACCACAATGTCTCTGGTGTCCCTGGACAGGATTTCATAGTCTACCCTGTCTTTGGTTACCACCATTCAGCCAGTAAACTCACTTGGGCAGAATATTTAGCGCCCAGGAGAGGGGTGCAGGCATGCATGGGTTCACTGAACAAGTTTACTGAGTGTCAGGGGCTTGTGCTAGGTGTGAGGTAGAGGATGGATAAGCAAAGCAGACAGGGTCTTGCCTTCATGGAATGTACAATCATCTAGTAGGTTTGAATAAAGTAACTGTGATGGCCTTCGTGAGTCATGGTTTTTGCGCATTTAGCCCCCTGGACTTATGGGTTAGAACTGAGGTGTTGTTGATTTGTCCAGGGGCATAGTAAAGGCCTGCCTAAACTTTGAGACACCTCTGTTTCTCATTGATTTATATTTCTAGATGCAATTGAATCCACTGAGCCTGAATCTAAGTTGGGCGTTGCAAACTGCTGGCCCATGCGCCATGTTTGGTTTGTACATTGGGAAATCAGGGAATTTTAAGACAAACATCTAGATTGCTGATGTTCCTTGAAAACTGGAAGTTCTACCAACAAATGCAAGGAGCCTTGGTAGCTCAATGACTAAGCACTTGGCTACTAACTGAAAGGTTGGTGATTTGAACCCACTCAGCAGCCTTGCGAGAAAAAGATCTGTCAATCAGCTTCTGTAAGATTCAAACAAAACTCGTTGCCATCAAGTTGATTCCAACTCATAGTGACCCTATAGGGCAGAGTAGAACTGCCTCATAGAGTTTCCAAGGCTGTAAATCTTTATGGAAGCAGACTGCCACATTTTTCTTCCGTGGAGCAGCTGATGGGTTCCAACTACCAACCTTTTGGTTAGCAGCTGAGTGGTTAACCACTGCACTACCAGAGTTCCTTCAGCCATGAAGATTACAGCCTAGGAATCCCTATGGGGCAATTCTACTCAGTCACATGGGGTCACTGTGAGTCGAAAATCGACTTGATAGCACCTAACAACAATGCCACCAACAATACAGCCTGAATTTCTGCTCAGTAATCATAAATTGTAGCTGGACAGCTACTTATCCAATTAAATGGGTCACGTACTTTCTGCTTCAACGAAGTCCCCACAGCTCCCTACTGTCTTACGTTACTTTGCTCACTGACACTACCTGCCTGGTTCCTGCGGACATGTGAGTTTGTGAACCCAATCTATACAAATATTGTCTTATATGAGTGGTGAGGTCTTTAACATTTTAAGTGCTTACTAAGTGGTGAAGAAGCTGGTTTGAGGCCTTTGCTTAACTGCAGTGGAGTAAAGGAAAAATACTGCTACTTGTGGTAAGTGGGATTCTGTGTGAGTGGATATTCCAGCTGTTAGCCCTGTTCCGGTGTCACGGATGGGTCCATGAAAGCTGTAACCTTGGGCAGAAGTGCCTTATCCTACAGCAGTTATGTGATCCTTGCCTTTCCCGTCCTTGATAGGAGGGCTAAGGGAGCACCATGGGCGTGGTGAGCACATGGTATAGTCCACAAGCCAAGTCCTCACGGCTCTGAGTGGCCTATTTTACGTTGAACTGCAACACACAGGATCTTGGTCTATTAGGATCTAATGCTATAGCACAAGGGTATCTGATCCTAAAGGAAAGCAACCATCCAGTGAAGGATAAACTCCCTTTATGAGAACCTTGAGAGGGGAAACTTTAAATCCGTTAAGATTCCACTCAATAAAGGATGTCAGCTCAATCTAAATTCTTTAGCAACATTTAAATACATGAAATAAGACCCAAAGTGACACAAACAGGTATAAAATACACAATCTTCCAAATATGTTAAGAAATGATTTTGTAATGGTCTTCATTTAAAGGTCATGGCTGTTCGTCACAAAATAGTAGGAATTTGTAACTCTCTATAATGGAAAATAATATTGGAGGCCCTTTTGAAACAGCTTCACATAGTTTTATAGGAGACCCTTAAAAAACAAACAAACAAACAAATCCATTGCCGTAGAGTCGACTGCAACTCATAGAGACCCTACAGGACAGAGTAGAACTGCCTCCTAGGGTTTCCAAGGAGCGGCTGGTGGATTTGAACTGCTTACCTTTTGGTTAGCAGCTATAGCTCGCCGTAGCTCTTAACCACTGCGCCACCAGGGCTCTTAGAAGAGCAGAAATGGAGAAAGGGGAAATTTTGCCATAGCTCAATACCGATTTGGTTGTTTTGCCTCAGAAGTTTTATAAAGAATTCTTTCAGTTGTATCATAAACGCTTCACACAGCCAGTTTTATGGGAAAGCATAAAGGCGAAGGAGCCTTGGCCGCTTCCCTGGGGACGGAAGGGCAGTTGTGGGGTGTGCAGGAGCCCGAGGGCCACCGGAGGACCCTGGGCGCTCATCTTCCTAACGTGCTCAGTTGGACCAGGCATTTCCTGAGAGGAGATGAAAAGGTTAGCTCTGTGCGTTCTCAGAAGGGACTGAGCGACACGGCTGCCTCTTACCTGGGGCAGAGTTCCTCTCACCAACGCGGGGATATCAGCCGTGGAGTAGCCGAGGGCAGCTAGGCCGTCATCAACATTCAGCTCGAATAAGAATTTCCGCAGTGTGTCTGCCAAAACAAGCCCCGCATCTTGGGTCCTGGCAGTGCGGATGTCGGCTCCTAGAAGACATAAAGCTCTGACTGTGGGGAGAGAGGAGGAAGCCGACTCTGGGAGTAATTTGGTCTGGCTACCGGCTGAATACATAATGTGCATCTACGCCCATGTCCTTCATTCCGAGGACCTGGGACACCACTCGCTTCCACGCTGAGGCTGGGACCATAATCCCGCAGAAGACAGACAGACAGGCAAGGCCATGCGAAAGTGTACCAGAGCCTCTGCCAGGGAAGTCAGCTGGAGGTGCTAACTTCACCCTCGCGTTTCCAAAGGACTGCCATTCGTCACAGCTTGCGTGGTGGGGAAGATGGGGAAAGAGCGAGAAAAGCTGCACAGAAAGATCAAGGGGGAAGCTGGTGTTTGAATAACGAGTAGGAAAGGCAATGTATGTAATTTTCAAGGCTTGGAATTTGCTGACATCTAGAGGTGTAGGTGCCCTATGTCTCATCTCACAGAAACATCTTACGAGGAAAAGAAGACAAATTCTTTGCAAACCCCTTGTGAGACAAGAGTAGAGAAATACAAAACCTCCCAAATTAGGAAAATACGTATGACAAACATGGATTGCGTGTACGCAGGGAAGGAAATATTTCTTCTCCGTAGCTATGAAATCTTTTATCTTGGGTTCTGTTGCCAAAAGCAGGGTGGGTTCTTCTAAATAAACAGTACCCAACCAATAGGACAGAACGAAGAACATGACTGAGAAAACAGTATGTAACGTGTACAATAACGGTATCAGTCAAGTGGGAAGAAGGTTGCCAAACATCTGAGATTCGTAAGGGTGGAATTTTGACATAATAATACATGAAATCATGGAGGTATAAATCTGGAAGAGCAGGGTGTTCTGCCCTCAGGCCAGGGGACAGTGGACATTCCCAGACAAAGGGAACTGACTCTGAAGTCCTCAGCACACCCCTACCTATTTTAGTGGAACACAGTTGCTGCCACCAAGGTAAGCACTCTACAAACTGAATGTGGCATTATACAGCTATCCCAAAGCATCATGCTGTAGTCCAAGTCCACTTGCTCCTGTTTTGTTCAGGAGACCAGAATGTTCAGTTCACCTCCATACACTTGAAGCACATTATTAAATCATTGTGAACCTTTCTCTTCTACCACAGTGAGGACTGTTTTTAGTAATCCAGGAAAAGGTATAAATAGAACCAGATACAGGGCTAGGTGGCAGAGAACTGGATGGAAGATAAACCTGGCTTGACAAGACTGGTCTGTATTAAACAGCAGCAGCTAAAATACGGGTTGGGGGAGAGGTGACACATGATACGAGGTTTATGAGGTTTTTATGTTCCCGGGATTGCTGCCATAAAACACACCATCAAAATCGCTGGGCTTTCCTGTGAGGTGTTTGAGAAAAAAAGAGACGGTAGGAAAGAGAATACATTGGTCTAAAGCTAGGAAAATCTAAGATTACACAGAGAATCAAAATATCTCAATGGCTGAGTATAGCAATATCAAACAAAATTTTCCTTTGCAAGAAGAAGGAATTGGTGGGTTTTGCCTAACAGAGGAATTGTTTTCTCAGTAATTTCACTGTTGTCTGGAATGTTAACTTTAAATTCTTCAAGATTTTCCCATTTACCATAAATCTAACCTACTGCAGTATTTGGGCTTCCTTCTGTTTACACAGTTTGCATATTACAAAGGCATTTGAATCCCAACATATGGCTAAACAACATCCGGGTCAAAAACAGAAAAGAGAAACAAGATCCTTGGGAAATAGGCATGTTTGCCTCAGCTCATGGTGCGAAATCAAGCCCCCGCCTACCGCTTATCTGCCCTGAGCTTCTTCCATTAACATTTCCAGCACATCACCTGGAGCTCAGAGGGAGAACAAACACCAGAGTGTAGAGGGAAGGAGTGGAGGCGAAGGGGACACGCAGAAGGATGTCTGCGGTCATTCCTACCTTCTTGGAAAGAATCTTTCCAACGGCTGGTGCTAGGAGAGCATAATGAAGTTTTCTTTTTAGTCTTTCCCTTCCTACCCTAAACACAAGTGGGGGAATAAGATGGTTTGAAAGTTAATCAAGTACTTTCGACTAGAAGATGTCTAGTAGGTGTCAGAAAGAGCTTACCGTTTTTAAAGAATTAGAAAAATACCAAAAGTTTACTTAATACTAAAGCTATCACGAATATAATTTTATTTCTTGTAAGATTCAAAAGGCACTCTGGATGTCTTCTTACAACACTTATTGTTGTGGAATTGATTCTAACACATGGCGACCACATGTGTGTAGAATGGTAGAACGGTGCTCCATAGGGTTTTCAAGGCTGTGACCTTTTGGAAGTAGATAGCCAGGCCTTTCTTCCAAGGCATCTCTGGGTGGGTTCAAACTGCCAACCTTTGGTTAGTAGTCAGTGCTTAACTGTTTGCACCATCCAGGGACTCCTTATTATTTATTAAATACAAAAGCCATTTATAACATTACCAGTATGGAAAGAGTTACACTTTTCATGAAAACAAATATTAGTACAAACTTAACATAAGCAACATTTAGTTCCATTTCACTGTTAATAGTCTTAGAAGCATAAAATTAGAGAATTTTAGTACTATAGAGGACTTTGGGCAAATCACTGACATTTTATTAATAAATTACCTCAAAGGAACATTTTTTTGGTATTACCCTTTATGGTTTATCTTCAGAAGCAACCCTTGGAAATGCTCCACGTTTGTGGGCCACAGAATTATGAGTGATGGCACATACCTAATATTTTTGCTGTCTCCAGGTGTCGCTCCGGAAACATCTCTGCTGTAAAAGTGAACACTGCTGGGGAAGTTAGCACCACAGAAAGGCCATGAGGCTGAAGAGAAATAAAACACAGTGACTGATGGGCCACAGCTATTCCTCAACCTGCATATTCTGAACACTGAATTACATTACCCTGTACTCCAAGCAATCAAGAATTGACAAATGTATTTATGGAAGTTGACAGGAACATAACATTTAATTAAAGAATTGATTGTTTTACCACCAGTGGGTGATCCACATTGTAATCCTTTGCTTTATATGTCTTCACTAAACCTGAAATTGGGTAGGACATTCCATGGCTAGAAAAGAAAGAAATTGCTTATGTTGACATGCAGGTAACAGGAATTCAAGTTAACAATAAAAAGATACTCTTATGAGAGAACCTTCACAGTCTCTCATATTATTGTTACCTCTCAAAGTTATACATTCTGCTTTCTTTGATACAAACAAGTTATTATGCACTCTATGTTTAGTGGATTCATGAACAAGACTTCTGTTTTTATTGTTATGATTATTATTATTATTGTAGTTTAAATGAAGTTTACATTTCAAGTTAGCCTCCCATACAACATTTTATACATACATTGTTATGTGACCCTAATTGCTCTCCCCATACTATGACAGCACACTCCTCCTTTTCACCCTTGATTCCCCATGTCCATTGAACCAGCTCCTAACCCTCTCTGCCTTCCCATCTCACCTCTGGACAGCAGCTGCCCCTTTGGTCTCTTGTATCTACCTGAACTAAGAGGCGCACTCCTCATGAGTATCACTTTATGTCCCACAGTCCAGACCAATCCCTGTCTGAAGAGTTAGCCTCGGAAATCGTTTTAGTTCTGGGCTGATAGAGAATCCAG